AAGCGGTTCATTTAAGTGATTTGCGTAGAGAGCTGGATTAATTTAGTGTTTTGATATATATTTTATAAGATACTAAAAGTATACTACAATATGTACATTTAAAAAGCCTAAATAGGGGGTGGGGCCTGGCATCCAACATGGCCGGACGTAGTTTGTAAAAGCTCCTGCCGAACTGAGCTAAAATACAGCGATAAGTGCATAAATCCATGCCGGTGTTGAAGCTCAACTACTCATGTATTACACATCTTGATTCCTGCAACTTATTATACCGGGAAGGTGGAGTCACATCGGCTACATACCTTCTCCTGGGATCCAACAAGACTGGTGGTCTGGTGATTCGGAGAAGTGGCCGTTCTCCTGGACCTGGCCTCGAGTTTTACAGCACACTGCTTACAGCCCTGTAACTCCCCCTTGGACTGGTGGGGGATATCCCAGTCCCCATTAGTTTCACTTGCTTACAGCAGCTGTCTCAAATCTCACTGATCCACCGACAGCGTGGAGCACCTAAAATGGCTGCCGAATTTAAGTCCCAGAGAGGTCAGATGAGCCTGGAGGGCCAGACTTGGAGTGAGACCTTCGAGAAAAGGTTTGACGAGGTCTGCCAAGCTTTCTGGCACAGAGTTAGTAATCGACCGCAAGAGCCTACCACTCCTGCTGGAACTCAGACGCATGCCGACGAGAAGAATATTCTTTCTTGTGCAAAATCCACTTCATGCTCCGTTTCTGGGCAGGGGGCTGAGCCGCAGTCCATACACCCGAGGAGTCGTCTGTGTTCCGGAGAACCTGCAGGAACGCAATCCTAACAGCTGGAACTGGAGGACCTATGGACATTGGGCAATGACCCCTCTTAAACCCAGGAGCAGAAGGTACCTGTAGTGCTGTAACCCACTACAAAATGGGAAACTAGCTACCCAGTGCTGCATGAAGGATCTGGCAATGGAGAGAGGAGACAACAACTCTGGCATGGAGTGGAACTCCCTATTTTTACCTGCATGTGGTATAGGATGATTTAGCCTGACAACATCTTTTTGTACCGATGGCAGCACCTCACCTATTATAGCAGAAATCTATACCTATATTCTGTCTTCTGCTGTTAGCTTTCCCTTCTCATATCTGCTCCCACAGCGTCCAGGGTGTGGGGGGGACAGTTTGTGCTTGTATTTTTCTTTAGAGATTGATAATACATTGCAATACTGTGTGTGGAGAGAGCAGGGATAGGAAGCTACATCTTATCCCTCTTTCTGAGCAGAAAGGGACAGAAGGAGCAGGAAGGTAAAGGAGCAGAAAGACTTAAAAAGAGCACAAAGATAAAGTAGGAGAAGGAGCAAAAAGGATCAGCAAGGAGCAGAAAGGGCAGCAAGGATCAGGAAGGTAAAGTAGGAGAACTCAGCCTTGTTACAATGCAGCCGCCCATCCCATGTGTTCCCTATTAAGCGTTAATATATAGGGGTGTATATAAAAAATACCCCTTTCTGTTTCATTAGAGATTTTTGCCAGAGGCTCAAGGAAGCAAGGTGAATGGTTAGAGTTAGGACCCACCTAGGGGGGTCTGCCTTGACGTTGGCAGGTGGGCTCATCCTCTCATGGCCATTGGAGGTAACTAAAAAACCTCCATTTGTTTAAAAATACATAGGGATTAAGGAGAGAGCGCAGGTAACTTGTTTTTCTAAAGTAGGAGAAAGAGCAGGAAGGAGAAGGAACAGAAATGAGCAGTAAGGAGCAGAAATGGGCAGAAGGAGCACAAAGGTAAAGTAGGAGAAGAGCAGAATGGGATCAGAAAGAGAAGGAGCAGAAGGGCGCAAAAGAAGCAGAAAGTAGCAGAAAGGTAAAGGAGCAAAAGAAGCCAAGGAGGAGAGAAGGCAGTGCCAGAAGAATAAGAAGACTGTGTCAAATGAAGAAGAAGAAGAAAAGGAGATTTGAGCAATAAGGATCCCTCCACTTTATTCTGGACACATCATAAGGCGTTGGAACCTGGGCCTGGCAGGAAAACTTTGGGCCTTCTCATCTTCCCAGGTAAAAAAAAAATAAAAATATCAGGGTTAATGTGTTCACTTTTATTTACAGAGAGTGTCAGGAAGCACAGAGCGCAGCTGGGTAGCGGTGTCGCTGATTGGCTAGAGCCGTCAGCAGGCACTCTAAGCCAATCAGTAGCTCCCCATTCACAAAAATAAACTTTTTATGAACCGGGAACTAGCGATTGACTTAGAGCGTCAGCTGACTCTAGCTAATCGGTGGCACCCATGCCTGACGTCAATCTTCACTTCCTGACACTCCGTTTCAGAAGCCGAATACCACTGAGCGACCTGGAGGAAGTCTTTGGGGTTAAGCCATTTGAGAGAGGTTTAACCCCTAAAGGAAAGAGAGCACCCAGGGGCCTCCTGGCATCATAGCATTTTCATTTGGATGAAGTTGTTATGTTGACCAGAATGTTCCTTTAAGTTGATTAAAGGAACACTATAGTGTCAGGAATACATACATGTATTCCTGACACCATAGTTGTGAAAACGCAATTCACCCTGGCTTTATGTGATAATGACTATGCCCCTCCCCTTCATGACACTGTCAAAAAGGGGCCAAACATGGATGTCAATATAAGTATGCCCCCCCCTCCCCCCCGGATAAATTCCTGCGGATGCCCATGTCTGCTCCCTAGTAGTTCACCTGCTACTAATACTGTCAGTTAGCACAGCTTGATTTATATAATGATCTCTCAACTCATTACTGACAGTACCTGACCTGTTTATTTTATTTTCTTAAAAAGTGTGCAGTCATAAATGTATCTTCTCTTGTACATGCTTACTACTGCTGTTGTGGCAACGTAAGCTTGACTGTATGTATTCATTTGCACAGCAAAGTCTAAATAATACACAAACATTAAAAGTAATATCAACAAAAACAAATTTGGGTACGACATAAGCAGACTTACCAGCTTCTGGAATAGGTGACCAACAGTGGTCTTGTTGTCCCACTGCTGAACACAAGGACACAGGTTGTCATAGAAGTCCTTATGGATCTCATATATGTCCTGAATCTTGTAAAAAATGGCGTCTATTTGTTGCATGGTTAACACAGGCTGAGATGTGGTTGCGGTGGCCTTCAACGGCTTCATGGGCTGCAAAGATACAATATATAAGTAAGTCTGCTCACTTTTGATATTTTTGCAGCTAACTCCTATATTTCATAAAAGAAAATTGTACGTTTTACTTTAAGGTAAATAAGGTCCTCAGAGAGAGAATATATCTTAAAATTTGAAGTCCTATGCTACTAGCCGAGCGTTAAAATTTCCTCGCCAATATAAGCAGAGCATACACACCAGGGGTGAATTTCTACTTGCTAAAACCTAGAATTCACCCTCCTGCACTCAGATGTTAACAGGTAAGTGGCTTAAATATGTTTATAGTGATTTCTGTTGGTGTATCTCTGTATGTTAATATGTGTATGCATCAGACTCATACCTGCCAATCTTCTGAGATGGTGTTGGGCAGGCAAGAGAGCAGGCTTGCACAGGAAGTTGGTTAATCACACCTGCAAGGCTTTGGCCAAAATGCTATTATGAGGAGCTCCTGGGGATGCAGGTCAGGTTACTGTGGTTAAGGTACAAGGTAAAAGGAATTTGTACTTGCAAAAATGAGTGGTGGACCATGTGTCATTTTGTCCACCTTTACAGGCTGGCTAAATTAAATTTACTGGTTTAGTTTTAGTCAGGAAGACTTGGACTGTTCAATGAAGCTTCATATGCATTAGGTAGAATTCTTGGTCTATAGCAGGGGTAGGAAATCTTTGGCACTCAAGATTTCGAGGACTACATCTCTTATAACGCGCTTACAGCCAGTATGCTGGCAAAGTTTCAAGGGAAGTGTGGTCTAAAACATCAGGAATGTCGAAGGTTGCCTACCCCTGGTCTATAGAATATACTACTCATATGGAAGTGAAGGGAGAATAATTAATATGTTTAGACTTCTCCTTAATTGCCTTGTGGGTTGGCAATAGTACTTTACAAACGGATACAGCTGTCCTTTTTTCCTTGTAATTCCCCTGCCCCTTAATAAGAATCGCTCTGTTCTACTTACTGAGCCCTGTAATTTCAATCAGTTGTTCCTCTGTAACAGAGGGCGTGCACAAGGCTGGCGTTCTGTTAACTAGCAGCAATAGAAAAAAGTAATCTAAGATTTCTTCAGATCTTGCCTAGCAGATTCTGCCATTCCGTCTCCTTAGCTGCTGGTGAAGGCGACACAGCAGATGTTTTTCCAAAATACACCTCCCTCTTTTTCAAGGCATATGGATAATGGAATAAATCACCTATAAGAGCCATGCTCTCCTTTCTCTTGCCACAGTGAAAGGAAGAATTCTGAATATCCAACAGTCACATTGTATTACGCACAAGAAGGCTAAATGCCCAATTAGTTGAAGTTTATTATATACGATAAACCAGTGTGGGCTCCTCAAATGATACTTCCTAACTGTAAATAATGCCAATTTATTATTTCCAATGGGTTGCAGACAGCATGTAAAAAGGTGGGTTTATGATGTATTATTCATTAATATGCAAATGTAAAACAAGTAGGGAATACTCAGGGGGAGAATTTCCTTGAGTTAGTTGGTCAGTCACATGGTTGGAATTAATATGGGATGAAAGATGTAGGAAATGAATCCACATCTTCGAAAGGGTGTAAAACAAGCAAGATTCATACTATGTCTAATATAATGCAAGAACTGGTCAGTAGGGAAGGGGCACGAATGATTTCACTTCTCGGTTATAGGATATATAAGTATGTAGTTATTTAAATGTACATAGGGATTTAGGGTAGTGCGCAAGTAACTTTTTTGTTTTTATTATTGAATATTGGGGATGATGTGTACTAGAGTCATTGCTGCCACCCAGTAGTGGGTTTTGAGCATAGGGATTAATTTTGTATGTTTGTATTTGTGTGTAGTGATGTCCCGAACGGTTCGCCGCGGACTCATCATTGAGTAAACTTTGACCCTGTACCTCACAGTCAGCAGACACATTTCAGCCAATCAGCAGCAGACCCTCCCTCCCGGACCCTCCCACCTCCTGGACAGCTCACTAAGAATGCAGCTTCACAATGAATGTAAAATGGATGCTGTCCAGGAGGTGGGAGGGCCTGGGAGGGAGGGTCTGCTGCTGATTGGCTGGAATGACGTGTTTTTAAATAAAAAATTTACATTCTGTTAGACTTGAAATTGCGGTTCAGTGAATGAGCGAGTGCGCTGGATCTTGTATGAATTGGACCCAGCAGCACACTATAATGTATGCATGTTCAGGTGAATGCAGCCTCATGGGGGCAAAGGGATTGGGGACGGAGACAGAAAGACACACACACACACCCCATATAGAGGCCATCATCCTGTGAATTAGAATGTTTAAAATACCCACAGCAAGTAGTCTGTTTTTTTTCTTACTAAATGACACTAAACCAATAGGTTCCCCAGAATCTCCCTTTTTCCAAGTTTGCATCCACATCAGGGACCACCAGACTTATGTTACCTGTTGGCCTTGCTGAACAGCTTCAGATATTACAAGGATATATGTTCTTATATCCAAAGACCTGAAAGTCTCCAATACCTGCTATATGAGAGGCAGCTCTACACATAAACATGCATGGAAGCACAGCTACAAATAGTGGGGTTTAAACAATGAGTCTTCTGCACCATTTCATAATTGTGTGTACAATTATGTATGATTAATGAGAGCCAAGAGAAGTCAGCTGTGTAATATTCAGCCATAAAATGCTGACCTTTCTAAGAGAGCAGCCTACCATTCCATCTAAATGAACATCCGTTTAAAAAACAAAACAAAAACAACAACTGTAAAACCTTGGGAAAAGTCAGCATTGGGCAAAGTAATTTAGAGAAATCACATTTCCACAATTCTCCCAGAATACCAGTTTCAACATGCAAATGAGCATGGACAAGCATCACGCTTCAAACTTCTTCCTGCATATCTGCAGTCACCCTTACCAATTAAACAGGGTTTTAAACAAAGGGCATTGATTGTATTCTACAAGGACGAATAATAAGAAATTAACCAAGGAGGGCATGTTGAGCGAGGAATTCTGGGATAACAGAATGAGATATGATTTCTGGGAATTTCTGTGCACACAGCAGGTTTTTCCCAAATTCCTACTTGAGATATGTAGATGATGAACGACAGTAATTTTCTGTATTTGCATAAAACTGTGGTGAGTTCTAATATGTTTGGTCTAACCGCAACTTACTTAGTACACTACACTTCAAAAACATATAAAGACAAAGAGCAAAATTAAAACAAACAGCAAAATTAAAATAAATAAAATGTAAAAATGTGTAACCCTATCAGTTATGGCTAACATGGAACATCTTATACTTGACACAGAGGATGAGAGTTACATCAGTATGATCAGGTGTTAATCTAACCCTTTGATAAATTCAATCTCTAATACAAGTCCATTTTGACATGTACACTGTTATGAGAACTCTACAGATTTCACTTTTTACTTCTATTAAAAATAAATTATTTTGTTCCATATGCAGACATTACATGTCCCTCATTTTCAATCTGTGCTTCCTTTATTTTCCACCTACAGCAGTATATTTGTACTAAACCAGAACAACTACCGCTTAATGTAGTTGTTCTGGTGTCTACTCCCTGTCCCTGCAGGCATTTTCACGTGAAGACTGCTTTTTCACTCAGACGGCCACTAGAGGTGCTTCCTGGGTCAGTGGTGCACAACATGCAGCACAACATGCAGCACTGACGTCCAACGTATCCCCGCTCTGTATGGATACGCTGAAAGTTCTTTAGAGATGGACTGTTTCAATGCATCTCTGAGAAGATGCTGATTGGCCCGCACATTGTTTGGCCCTGCCCTACCCCCCACAGGAAAGCATTTCATTTGCCTGAGATGGTCAATTTTGATGATTTCAGTCAAGGAGGCAGGGCGGAGCCAGTGCAAGTAGACCTGCACAGCGCTAGAATACAAGGGAGTTTTTATCCTATTTAAGGGGAAAGAGGGCCTAAATAGTGTTTTTACCACAATAGGGTCAGGAATGCATAGTGTTCCTTTAACTTGTACAAATATATTGTTTTTCCTTTAACAAGGATTTAAGACAATTGTAGCCAGGTCCACCTTGATAAGTACATATTTTGGAAGCACAATTTTCACATACAATAGGAGTACTAGGATGAGAGGATTTAACCATTTCCTGGTATGAGAGCTTACAGCAGAATCTGCAGATTTGCTTGAAAAGGTAAGGATTTGAAATAGGAGGGTTTGTGTTACTGGAATATTATTTTCCATTTCAAGGCATTATGAATGTAATTTTAAAACATTATTTATTGGATTATTTGAAGCATTTACATTTATCGCATTAATGTAATTTAAAACTCCATCTGTTAAGTTTGCCTTCTTTTGGTGGTAGAAGAGAATGCTGAAATGTAATATTAATGTTTTTCCAGATGTCACCTCCGTTCTATTGCCTTTAATATACGTTTAAAGAAAACAGAGCATAACATTAAAACGATATAGGTGATTTTCACTGTTTTATGCAACATGTAGATTGGAAAAAAATGTACAGTTCCCTCTCTGCAATATCCCAACCTAGTAAATTAAAGCAAGGCATGAGTTGGGTGAAAGCAATGCCAGCCACAACAGTTACAATGCAATGTATTCTTCATTTGGCACGCATTTCAAGCCCTTTCCAAAAATACTAACATCTGATACTTCAGAAGACTTACATAAAAGCTAATTAGTTGTGGTTGAAGAGCTTCAGATGACTTATTTTGGTGTGTTTTTGTTGTTTTTAAGCTCTAATTTCTGGCCACAACAATCAATTCTTATCTGAAAATGTATCTGTTAAATAAGTTAACTCTTTAAGTCTCAGATGGGTTAGCAGCACACTCCCCCTGGACACATTAAACAGAATATTATAACGAAGGTTATCTTCAGTCACCTTTACCATTTGCAAGCCACTAAAGAGAATTGTGCATAACATGTACCATTTATCAACCTAACTAGCAAAAAAGACACTTATCAATAGATATGCTACACAGCACATGGCCATTGAAGCACACGAAAACGTATCCTTGATCACTAACAGATATATCTTCCAACATTCCAACTGGATAAATAGGGACACTTTAATTTTAGGTGACTTACCAACAAATAGGTGTTAGGTGACTTACCAACAATGAATGCAGCTAAAATGTACGATAATTTATAACTAGAACAATGTATCTTATTTACACATACTGGTTTCACACCAACAATATAGAGCTTCTAGAAACGAGGGACATTAGCATAGAAAGAAAAAGGGACAGAGGGACTTGGGCCCAAAACAGGGACACTTACAAAGTATGTCAACACACAGACACAAACCAGCACAAATTAAGACAAATTCACATATTCACGGACTTAATTGTAAGTCTGTGAATATGTGAATTTGTCTTAATTTGTGCTGGTTTGTGTCTGTGTGTTAACATACTTTGTAAGTGTCCCTCTTCTGTCTATGTTGTTCACTTTAACCAGGGAGTAAAAGAGACTTTGTTCCCCTGACCCCTTGGTGTCTATAGCTAGGAAGGCAGTGATACTGACAGTGGGGTTTTTATGCTGGGTATGTAGAACTGTTTCGTAACATAGTATACGTTCATGTCCAAGGGAACAGACATTGTCTGTGGTCACTCTTTTGATAATCGGCTTAAAAATAAATAACTGCAGGCGTCACATAAAATGCAGTTCACATGCTAGCCATCACTGTTATATAGATGGCTGTTACAAGATAAAATATATCACAATTTACATTTTGGCATACAGTGCATGTGTGGTCACTTAAAAAGACATTTCTTCTGCAAGAATCATATTGCAGATTGTAAGTATAAAAGGGATTTAATTCAAATTAGATTCCTGTTTGTGGAAGATTCTCAGACAGGTAGAAATGATCCAGCAGAAGTCTGATATTTCACACAAAAAAACACATTTCTCTCACTGTGTCAACAGCGAGTTACTGTCATCGATTCGATGACCATCTGAAGATAATTTCTGGATAGTGGTACTGGGAGAAAAAACAACAGTGACACAAAAGGAAACCCATTTATATCTAACATTTAGAGCAATTAGGTCCTCATTTTTGTGCATATAAAACCTAATTTTTAAACCATTTTAATATTATTGACTCTCTGCATTAAATTGCATCTTTTTATGGAATATTCCATGTGATTTTTATCTGCCCAGGGCACCCGGAATTAGTTACTAGAGTTGCAAGTCTGTAGCACAGACAAAATGGGATGCTTAATCAATTTCTGTCTTGTTATCTGAACAGGCGCGGTTAATGCCATATTATCATCAGGCAGAATCTAAGAGGGATCTTTCACTAGGGTTAAGAACAAAATCAATCCCCAGATCAATAAGACTTTTTATATATGTATTTTACATGTACTACTCACAGGGGTATTCTATTTGTATTGCTAAATTTAGGTTGCAATATACAAAATGTGACTAGAGCAGAGTTGAAGAACGTTTCCATATCAGCGCATTGATACATTTTGTAATTCCGTTTTCAGCTCATTATGGTTTAGTGTTTAACCCCTTAAGGACACATGACATGTCATGATTCCCTTTTATTCCAGAAGTTTGGTCCTTAAGGGGTTAAAGAGAATGGTACACAAACTTACCAACAGCAGCGCTTCAAGTTGATTTATATAGATCTCTTCACTTGCCAGGACGCCAGAGAGGACAAGCTTTCTCATCAACAGCCCCTTGTCCGATTCACTTTCACCCTGTGAATTGGAAATGAAATATATATTTTACAACGGCATTCAAGTATAATTGTCAATAAATGTTTATTATTAGCTTGTAGAACACAGGAACACATTTTACAAAGATTACCCTGCCTGCATTATGGACAGTAATATTGTTATATATGTGGCTGGCTGGTGTATTCTAAGACAGAAGCTGTACATAATGCAAGTACCAAGGCTGGCTAGTGTATTCAAAGACGGCAACTCTACAGAATGCAAGTACCAGGGCAAGCTAGTGTATTCTAAGACAGAAGCTGTACAGAAAGCAAGTACAAGGGCTGACTAGTATATTCTAAGACCGTAACTGTACAGAATGCAAGTACCAGGGCAAGCTAGTGTATTTTAAGACAGAAGCTGTACAGAATGCAAGTACCAAGGTTGGCTAGTGTATTCTAAGGCGGTAACTGTACAGTATGCAAGTACCATCTTAGAATACACTAGCCTGCCTTGGTACTTACATTCTGTACAGCTTCTGTCTTATATATAGAACACACTAGCCAGTCTTAGTACTTGGTACTCTCATTCTGTACAGCTTCTGTCGTAGAATACACTAGCCAGCCTTAGTACTTGCATTCTGTTCAGCTTCTGTCTTAGAATACACTAGCCATAAAAAGATATTGCCCACACTCTGACAGACTCGCAATGGACAAACATACTATATGCTCACAAAACACTGACAAAATCCATATCACATATCAAACTATTCTGCAAAATCCTGTACCACTGGTATTTGGTCCCTACACGCCTTAAACGCAGTATGCCAGGCACGTGCTGGCGATGCCAAGCGGACAAGGGCAGTATGATCCACATATGGTGGTGGTGCCCTCGTATAAACACTTTTTGGAAAGATGCAAAACAATGCACAGGGGACAACCTTACCTTCCAACCTGAAACGTTTCTACTGTTGCTGCTACCAAACAACAGGCAAAAATACCTCCTATACCATATCATTACTGCAGCATTGACGGTCATGAGCAGACATTGAAAGAATGCATCACCCCCTACAATAGACCAATGCAAAACCTTGGTAGAAACCAATAAACTATTTGAAATAATGGCAAGGAACACTCAACCTCCAGCAAAATACTGGAGGATAGCATGGAAAAACCTGGGACTCCTACATGCAAAAGCCCCAAGGAGGCAACTCTAAAGCTTTCTGAACCCCCTTTATTTTCCCTCTCTTTTCGCTCACCCTTACAATACAATCTTGATCCACACATAAATAGCCACCAGCATGACCCCATGACTGGATCATGAAGATGATCAGAGGCCATAAGCTAAAGACACACCACCATAGGTTGCATGGTTAACAATATGTCCTGATCTAAACGTTTCAGGTTACTGTAAGGCAAAATGCCAACTCTGACTTGAGGTTCAAAAGCTACCTGTGGGTATGTTAAAGTTATCATATGAACAATATCGTCATTTATTAAATGTCACTGATTGTCATTGTTACTTATGAGCTTCTGTATACAAGACAGAAGCTATACAGAATGCAAGACAATGCTGGCTAGTGTATTCTAGGACGGTAACTGTACAGAATGCAAATACCAAGGCTGGCTAGTGTATTCTAAGACGGTAACTGTACAGAATGCGAGGACCAAGACTGGCTGGAACTTGTAGTTGACCAATGATAAATTGCTAGAGGTTTCACTAATCTGATAAAGACTAACAGAACAAACACGCACATATAATGAGCAGGAAGAGGGAGAAAAGCTCAGGCCACATAATAACAAGGTGCTGCTAATGTTCACACTTTCATAGAGACTTAACACAAATACACCAGTTATTTTAGTCTAAGCTATTTCCACCACAGTTCAGGTTTACTGAATAAACTCCCACATGGCACTGCACCTACAAGAACCAAGCACTTAAATTTACATGCATTCAGCAAGGCTTAAACATATTATACACCTCATTTTTTTTTCCATAAGATAAAGTGGATGACTTCGTCTTATAAGGAAAAGATTTTTGCCAAAATGAGGTGTCAGGCACAGCTCCGCAGAGCTTCTGCTGGCTGCATCTTTACAATTTCCATTAGCCATCACTAGCGACAGATCATGGGAACAGACATTTTGTCACCGGTACAGAAGCTCTATGAATAATCCTGCAATCTCATCAAATCTACCCTGAACGCCATGAGTGAGAGAACACTAGCAGCATCTGGCTGTCAAAAGCTGCACGGGAACATGGCACTTTACGGAGGAAGAGCTTCAACTTCAAGTATACCTACCACCCCCTCCCCACTGGGTGCAAGCATGTAAACGAACATGTCACGTTGTGAGATAAAATTGCCTGGTGGTGCTTTGTAGATAAAATGTAATCTATATATTGTAATAGCGAAAATTGCTAACAAATTCAAAGTTAAAGGGACACTAATCACCAGAACAACTACAGCTTATTGAATTTGTTCTGGTGAGTAGAATCATTACCTTCAGGCTTTTTGCTGTAAACACTGTCTTTTCAGAGAAAATGCAGTGTTTACATTACAGCCTAGTGATAATTTCATTGGCCACTCCTCAGATGGCTGGTAGAGATCCTTCCTGGGCCATGGCTGCCTAAAATGCATTCAAACATTCAGTATCTCTTCCCCCTGCATGCAGACACTGAACTTTCCTCAGAGATTCGTTGATTCAATTCACCTCTATGTGGAGATGCTGATTGACCAGGGCTGTGTTTGAATCATGCTGGCTCTGCCTCCTTGTCAGTCTCATCCAATCCTATGGGAAGGCATTGTGATTGGATCAGGCCACCACTTCTGATGATGTCAGAGGTTAGAGGACGTTCACAGGCAGAGACAGCAGCTTCAGACTTGAATACAAGTAAGATTTTACTATCTTTAGAGAGGCAAGGGGAGCCAAGGGGGCTAGACAGTGCTTTTAACACTATAGGGTCAGGAATACATGTCTGTGTTCCTGACCCTATAGTGCTCCTTTAAAATGTTGTCGGAAATTTTACATTTAGGATATTCCTTTTTAATCCAATCCTGGATAAAAAGACATGTTATACATTATGAAAGTCATGCACACAGATCTGTCAAGTAGTAAGCATCTGTGCAACTTTTGTGCTCCTGCAGGATTTCATGCATTTGGATATATATATATATATATATGTTAATGTTTGTGTCATTTTTGCAGGGTTCTGTTTTGCAGTTCTACCTATTTTTTCCAGATTTCCCCATTTCCCATTCTACGGAAGTACAGTCACACGATGAAGCATCAAGATAGAGACATGGAGCGGCATTCGCTGGCTGAATGTACCGATAAAAAAAAATATGAGGTGTATAATATGTACCATGCGCGTTCTTCAATATCCGTACATTTTATAAATTAGGTTCAACACATTGTAAACATTATAAAGTAATTCTAAAAGTATCACAAGACACAGATTGGCACATTGAAAATGGCAAGGTGAAAGACGTTTTAGCAATACAGACTGAAGGAATCTAGTAGTAAAACTATGTGTTACAGTTTGGTTAATCGGCTGAGTGAATATGATGAAACAAAAATAAATGGACAGAACATCCACACATTGCACTAATTAAACGTAAAAGGTTCCTTTTCCAACACTTCATTACACCTTACGAACACATTAACTGCTGTAGGGGTTTTAGGTGAGGAAAGTGTAAAACAAGCTCATTTCTGCAGTACATATGAGTGCTTGCACCACTCTCTTCCTATGATACACTGGTTTCTTTTAATTAGAACTTCTGTGGTCATGGTGACCATATCCCACTAGTCTTGCATGTTCTACCCATGATGTTCTTGTAATATTTAGATATGGTGTTGCTAGGCTTCCTGTGACAACACTCCCAGTGAATGTTCAATCTGGTAACGGTGGTCAGGACATGCTCATTACACTCTGAAGCAAGGTTTTGCAATCCATATGTCACTTCCTTTCCTCAGCGACGATGGACAGCCTTCGACACTTCAGCTGCCGCAGAACAGGATTCGAATGAAAATCAGCCATTTAACATGAAAACACATTTAATGAGAAGCACAAACTGGAATGGACGCAGTTTAATTATTTAAAGTTCTTGTGGCATAATGATCTCTGGTAATAAAGCAAATTAGAATATGTGCAGACTGTTATTACAATTTATTTGACAAACAGTGCACAACAGTTGGAAATCCAAACACAACCTTTGATGCTTTATTTTCAGTACTGAATTGTACACCTCATATGTATGAAGTATCAATCTTTTTAACATCCCTCTATGAAAATGACATAGATCAATGGATACCAAGTTCCCAACCATGTACACCAAAAGTCAAAAATGCACACCAAAAGTCTAGGATTTGTCATTATCCTTAGTGGAACAGAATTAAAACATGCCTGAAACCAGGACTGCTTGTGAACCACTGCTATCAATCAAAAAAATTGTATACCACTGTATGGTGTAGTCAGTCTCTAGTCTAGAGATTGCACTCCCATGCTTTTAATCTCTGAGTTGTGCAAAGTAGTAGAAGTTTCTATAAATGTGCATGCTAAGAAAGAGGATGTTAAGTGCAAACTGAAACTAAACGAATAGCTAAAATTATCTTCTGTGAAGTGATACAACAATATCCCTGAATATTCAGTGAAAAAAAAGCAATGCCAGAAAGGGTCTCTCTAAGCACCATAACAACACTGCATAATTGCAAAGGATATGATACAGAATGTCCCCTTCATCCTGTCAACCTGCCCAGAATAGCTAACAACTACAGTGGTTTGTAAAATCACAGCAGCTTTAAAACAGCCGCCTGCATAAGAGACATCTCTCCAGCTCAATATAGACTGAACAAAAACACTGCATTGGGGGAGAGGGTCACTTCACAGAGCAGATCACTTCATACAGTTCAATTCCCATAATTGTGACTTGTGATGTAAAGAGGCAGATAGAAACCACTGGACAGAGAGAGAAAGGGAAAGGAAAGGAAGGAGAAAAAAAAAGCACAATGAAAAGATCCTGATTGGTTATGTCACTTCTTGGTCTGGAAGGTGTCAGCTGCAATTCTGGGAACTTTATTTTGAAATCATTTAGTTTTTTTGAATTTTACTTTTTAAAGTGTTAATTAAGGAGTACATTAAAAATTGGTTGCCAATTCCAGAATACGGAGTTTGTTTTAAAAGAAAATGTGACTGTTGATTATGAGAAATATACCAGTTACTATTTATTTCACTACTTTGCAGTTGCAATATTGGCATTTGATGTCCATTATTTATGTCCTTTGTTACTGTGAGAATGCATTAACACATATGGCATCATGAGAAAAATGAATGCTCAAGAACAAAGTTAATTATGTAGTATTGCAATATCAGTTGTAATGTTGTGCTAAAAACACACCTAATAAACCAAATATCAAATGAAATACAAAATAGTGCACACCCTCGTCCGGTGTAAGAAAGCTACAGTTGAAAAACACTATGCAGATCACTTCTTCAGAAGATAACAATGTTGTGCACATGTAATACCATAAC